TCCCCTTGTCCTGCCGCCGCGGCCCCTCGGGGTCCTGCCGGGCGCTGGCGAGATGGAGGCTCCCAAGGAGCGAACGCGCGGGCTCTGCGGTGCCTGTTGTAACCCAGCGTCGTCACGGGCCGGGCGCGGGCTGGGGCCGGGCGCTTGACACCCATTCTCCGGAGAGGCTGGGGAAGGGCTGGGCCGTTGATTTTAGCGCTTCTTGGCTGTGAAGCGGCTCTAGACCCTTGGGGCGAAGGGCGCTTGGAGGTAATGGCGCTGCTTTCGTCTCCAAGTGATCCCGGCGTTGCATCGCATTGTAGCTGGGCACCGTACTGCTGCTGGCGGTGACGCCTCGGCTCCCTCAGTGTTTGTAAGTGTCGAGGAGAACTTGAGGGATTACTTGTTCCCGGCTTCAGCTTTAACTGGACTTTGGGGCTCTAGACCCTTGGGGCGAAGGGCGCTTGGAGGTAATGGCGCTGCTTTCGTCTCCAAGTGATCCCGGCGTTGCATCGCATTGTAGCTGGGCACCGTACTGCTGCTGGCGGTGACGCCTCGGCTCCCTCAGTGTTTGTAAGTGTCGAGGAGAACTTGAGGGATTACTTGTTCCCGGCTTCAGCTTTAACTGGACTTTGGGGGTTAAAATACTGCGGCCTTTTCTGACGTGGGGACACAGCTTAAACATGTAATATGCCTAGCACAAGATGTGCGTTAGTTGTTGTTCATCGTGCATCACATTTTGCTTCCGAGATTTTTCCTTCAGCTCACCAGAAAATGATTGAACACCTGTACTAGTTACTTTTGGAAAAAATGAAACTAGGTTATGATTTATAACACTACCCGAGTTCTGCTAATTCTTGTATTTGTATAAGGGGACCTGCAAAGCTCCCTCCTCTAATACCTGTTTACTTTTTTGCTGCTTCATGATATTAATGAAAGCCCAAAAACATGTTTAAAATTTTGCTTGGTCTCTTTAATTCAGAAATCCACATAGGAAGACTCAACTGGAGACTAAATAAAGCTATTCCTGTCCAAACTTCATTAAGGGTGGGAGGATATAAGGGCAAAGATGCTCACAAGAATGCTGTAGTTAAGTAGTTTGGAGCTCATTATTTAAAATAAGGGTGTTAAGGAGTGGGTATTTGGCAATACAATTTTTATCGACTACACAATTAGTCGATAAGGGGAGACTTCTGCACAGCAGCAGTGGGGGTAGCTTCTGGAGCTAGCAAAAGCCGGGACTGCTCCGTCCCAGCTCACACTGGGTCAGGTAGCCCAGGCTGCTGCCAGAGCAGCCTCTGCCTGCAACAAGCCTTGGCCTGCTGTGGGCAGAGGATGCGTCACAGGATGCTTCATGGCAGCTTCCCCTACCCCCTCCCTGCCCTCTGCTGTCTCTGATGTCTTTTGGTGATGGAAAGTCTCCTCTTGATGTGATTTTTTTTTTGGCCTGTTTTGTATGTTAGATTAACCTGACGTTCAACCAGTTAATTGACTAAGTGGGATCCCGGGCGGGGGACCACTCCCGCCTGGTTGGAGCAGCCCCCAGCTGATGGCGTGGGTGCTGGCTGGGAGCATGGTGGGGATGGAGCAGGCAGGGGGCTGCTCCCAGGGCATTGGTTAACCGTTACTCGGTAAGCATCACCTGGTAAGGTTAACCAGGTGCCCATTCGCATCTCTACACTAAGCTGGCAGTTTTCTCTTGTTTTCATGTTTGTGAAGGTATACTTCCTCCTAATATCTTTTTCTCCATGCAGAGGAGCAAAAGACAGTGAAGAAATTGGCAACCACTGTGTAATGTCCAAGCTAGGGATACTAAATTTAGATTAATCGGCCAATTGACTAGTTGATGCAATTTGGATCAACTATTCAGTTAGTCAATAAGGGCACCTCTGTCTTTGAAGTGTAGCAAGCATTACCCTGTTGGCCCTGTGCTCCCTGTGAGATTTCAAAGCAGCAGCACTGCATGGAGCCTGGGGTCAGTAGGGTAGTCCCCTGCTGATTCCAGGCTCTTTGCCGTGCTGCCACTTTGAAATTCTGCGTGCAGCCCAGGGCCAGCTGGGAACTCCTTGTTGGCTCTGGGCTCCATGTGGTGCTGCCACTTTGAAGCACCCCCCTCCTCTTTCCCGTCTAACTAGTTCACATCCCTAGTCCAAGAATGTCTTAAAAGTTGTGTGTATAATATTTCAGAGATTCTTGCTCATGTGTCGTCTCAATTCCATCATTAAGTCTTTGGAACTCCATGTCCTCCTTCAGTATCAGACACCTCCTGGTGTCTTCAGGTTTCAGGACTCAATTCTTCAAGAACAGGATGCAATGACAGCATCAGTACAAGCAGAGGGAAAACATCTTAAGGCAGTGGTCCCCAACCTTTTGAGGTTGCCGGGCGCCACGGGGCGTGGCCGTTCGGGCGCCGGGGGGGGGGACACTTGCGCGCCCGGGGGCGGCCCCCCCTAGCTGCATGCCCAGGGGCGACCCCCCCCATAGCTGCATGCCCGGGGGCGGGGCCCCCCACAGCCA